GTTTATCATTAACTAAACTAAAAAAAAATTGGTCTCAAAATATAGATAAATTAATTTAAAAACAACATAACAGCTAAATAAAAAAAAAAATTAACAAATGAATGGGTTAGGTTACTTGGAAGTTTTGTTCTGCTAACCACCATATTTATAGCTGGGCACAGATCTTATGTACCTAATTAGTTCTAACATTTTAATCAAATCCATTGAAGAAAATATGAAAATTCAATGCTATACAAAACAATCGACCCACATAATAATACATTCATCTTTACAATCCAATTAAGGTCATATCCACTGTCAATCCGTCGGCCTTAGCCTTAGCCTTTAGGTGCGTTTTTTCGTCCTATGCTTGGAGAAAGGCAGTTTCCAAATGACTGTAAAATTAATCAATAATTAGTCAAAATGAATTGATACCCCCTACTTATTTCAAGGAAAAAAAATCCACCGAAGGTGGATTAATTAGTATAACAAGGTCTATGTCTCCCTCCCAAAATAATTATGTTTAGGACATGCCCTGTATTAGCCGACAAGATCTAAACTCAACATAATCTTAATCCTTGGCTTTTGTAAGTTACGAGCACTAGGATTTGGTAATGTTTTAACTTGATGAAAACTACAGAAGATAACTGACGAATTTTATTTTATTTTTTGATATTAACATCTTGGTATCCAGTAATCACATTGGATATCAACTAATTTGGAATCGAATCGCGTTTGACTCGATTTAAAGAAACTCTTTTAGCGTTTATTTTTCTATTCACAAAACTCAAATTCGAGATTTTACTTAAAGAGAATCAAACTCCTTCCACTTAAACCAGCACGCAGTTGGTAACTAAAGATTTTTTTTTTTTGTTTAAGAAAAGTGAAGTATAATATAATATAAATAAACAAATAAATAAGAAGGAGAAGAAAAAAGAGAGTGGAGCATTGAGGGCTGGAAATCAGGTGCTTGTCTTACTCATCGGCCATTAATTGGAGGGTTGGGTTTGCGTAACATTCATGTATGTTGAGCTGCCCTTTTCAGTGATGCTGATGTTCAATATTTTTCCCCTTTTTCATATTGGAACACCTGAAAAAGATGTGGTTTTGGTCACACTCAACAATTAATATAATTTCTGCAGAAGAAAATATATGCCTTCAAGATTTTGTTACATTTTGCCAAACATGAACCTACAGGGAAAGCAATGCCCCATCTACTGTTTGAAAGGGAACAACAGAAACATATATTAATTTGCCAAGAAAAATCCTAATTTTATCTTTTAATCTCATGAGAAACATTTTTTAAGATTTTGATCATGGATAATGCATTTTTACAATATAAAGCATCAATAATGCATCAATAATTTATGTATGACTCTTAAATAAAAAGAATTAATTACAACATGCTATATCATATACAAAATATTGTATTTAAAAGCATTGTGCTCAAAATGAGGAATTTCTGCAAAATCCTAGGTGGACATACACATCAACCATAATCTTGAAATTCCAGTATTTTTAAGGTCAAAATTAACTACTTGATCAATATATGAGATCTTACTTGGGAATAGTATATAAATGATCTTATATCTCTTTGTCTTTTAATAAATAGCCTATATTATGGCCAAAAAAAAAAAAAAAAAGCCTATATATTAATGATCCCTAGTTTCATCATACCGGTAAAAGGTCATGGCAGAACAAACCATACCTATCTATTGTTACTTTGCTGATACAAGAACAATGATATATCCTGTATGCATGCGATTAGCATGCATGTGCCATGAGAGCAGATGTGAACTTGCGTTAGATTTTTCCCTTTGATATCTACCTTTTAGTACATGATTCACTGCCGAAAAAGGCAAGGCAAAATTGAAGTTAAAAGTTATTGTGTCATGTGGGACTGAGGATCCAAACACATTTTCACCTCCATTCTACCTCACAATATATTATTGGTGCTACAAATGTTGGGTTTTTTTCCCCCCTACCTTTTTGGCCTTTTGTTAATAACATGACATGGAAAGGGAACCATATATATTAAAAGTCAAAAGAATTAAGGTTAAATAAAGTACCATGATTACATCTAGACTACTAATTTAATGATTGGAGAATAAGATTCTCTGAACTTGCTTTCTCTCAAAGAAATCTTGATCCTTTAAAAAAAAAACAACAAAGGGTGATAATTGGTTGCAATTTAAAGATCAAGTACTTACTAAAGTTATTGTTTACATTTACCCAAAAATAAAAAAGTTATTGTTTACATAGCAAAAAACTTCTTCGCAGACAAGTAAAAATTATTATTTTATTTTTGCTTATGGCAATGATCTGGCCGGTGTTTCTATACTGCCATGTAAACTCAACTCGGTTTTCATTAGATTTTCCTTTTGGGCAAAAGCCTATATTTAGCCCCTCACCCAATCAAGTTTGAAGATTTTAACCTCTCATCTTCTATTATAATATTTTTAACCCCTCACCTTATTAGATTTATAGGTTTTAACTCTCACCTTATATTATGACACTTTTTAATACTTCACATATTAAAATTAAAGAAAATAACCCTCACTTTATAATATTTTGTTAGTTCTGTTAGCTAATTATTAATTCTGTTAACCGATTATTAGTTGACTGTTAACTTACAAAAAATTTTTTTTAATTAACAAAGATCTTTTTTTAATTAACAAAGTTAACAGAATTAACTTTATAATATTTCATTAATTTTGTTAACTGACTATTAGTTGATTATTAGTTGACAAAAACTTATTTTTAACTAACAAAGTTAACATTCAATATAAAGTGAGGGTCTTTTTTCTTTGATTTTAATAGGTGAGGGGTTAAAACCTATAAATCTAATAAGATGAAAGGTTAAAAGTGCTATAATGTAAAATGAGGAAGTAAAACCTTCAAACTTAATAATGTAAAAGATTAAAAGTAGATGTTTACCTCCCTTTTACGCCAAAAATAAAATTTTCATTAATTAACTCAGATTCAATAAAATCAATTTAGTCCTCTTTTCATTTGGAAGTATTTGCTTCACATGCAAAAGGGGGAAGGGTGTTCTACTTCTATGCATTGGATCAATCAAATATTACTCAATACGACTGTTCATTAGTCATAATGGAGCCCACCAACATGGAGACATGCTAGCTGCCGTTCCTCTCCGTCATTCTAATTTCTAAAAGAATGTCCATAACACTGTATTCAAATCCAATAACATAAGGACAACATTAATTGATTAATTGATTAACAAATCCAAATTTAGTGAATCACTGTAGATTTTGGGCTTCTGTATGAGTATCAATGACATGATTTAATTAGAAACAAAACACCATTGTTTTGTTCAAATTAAATTTGAAATATCATGTCTAATTGTTGTTTTTGTGTAATTTCATTTCTTTCCCAATCCCCAAAAGAAGGAGGTGATCAATATCACATGTTAGGCAATTATTAATTTACATGTGTCCGTTAGAAACAAGACAAAGGCATTGAGATGTGGAAGAAGGGGAGATTATTAGGTCATGCGTCATTCAAATTGTTAAATCTCCTTTTCCTTTTTAGCTCCATGCAAATTGTCTCCCTCTGCATCTCTCCTATCATTCCAGCAAAACTCCATTTCCAAGAAGCCACAAATTTATATCTTCGTGTTAGGTCAGAATTGGTGGCTTTAATCTCTAGGAAATTACATATCATATTGTACTCAAATTCAAGGGTTTTCGACAAAGAGATTGGAATCCTAAGTTGCTGATTTGGTTTCTTGATACATATTGTACTAGAGGATGGGGTCCAATGCATCCATGCTTGCAAAGAATTATACATGCACTAATTTGGGTCCTTTGGGAGTTTCCACTGTCTAGTTCTGGTCGAAGGAATATCACGTCCATTTCTTTACGGCAAAAGGGAAACAAAAAGGAAAAAGTGATAACCTTTATAGCTAACCTTTTCAAATTATATTCCATTATTTTTCTGTTTTGTGTTTGCCCATGCATGAAGGTGTGTAGATTCTCATTTATGCTTTGACATCCTTGCATTTTGGCTAGATTTATTTTCTAGCATTTTCCTTTCAACATATATATAATTGAAAAGGGAATCAATTCAATTACTCTAAAACACTTCTTATGAAATATCAAGATTACTATTAAACTATTAAGTTATCAGAAGTTACTTTAAAAAGTTTCTGTTAAATCACCGAAAGTTACTTAAAAAAGTTTTTTAAAAGCCAACAAATATACTTAATGATGGACTTGAAATATACATCTAGAATACAAACAATGAGTAATAAACTAACAAACATTATCTACTCCAATCAAGTTCTCCTTTACCGTCATCTTCACATGGATACAACAGATAACCAGGGGAGCCCCCACTCCTTTGTTCCAATTCTCATGTCATCTTCTCCTTTCAAGCTAGCCATCATCGTCAACATATCACACTGGCTACATTATGTTTTCTGTTCTTCCTTTTCCCACCGAAGCTAAACCCCATTTAGGTCATCTCTGTCGGTTGTTTTGGAATATATATATATATATATATATATAAGCAAACCTTAATTTAAATGTTTCTCTTCTTTATTCTTTTGTTTTTTTCCAATTTTCTTCTCATGTGCATAAAAAGTTAGTATATACTAAATATAGTGCTAACTGCTAAGGATTTGGATTGTATCACTAGATTCAAACCATAAAATCTTGTCCGTGCTGTGTTTTTTAAGGAAAAAAACCGAAGTTCTAATTAATTACTCTTCACCATAATAAAGCCTTCTGTTGTAGAGAATTTTCTTTAAAGATTAAACTCAATACCAAACTTTCAAGGACCTTGGTGGTTGGAAGGCAAATAATTAAACTAAGAATTAGGAACCAAAGTAAGTGGGCAAATTCTACAGGCGCCATTAAGTGGGGCTTATTCACCACTAATTATAAATTTTTGAGTGGAAGAGAAAGGAAGCATAAGTAAGTCACTAACTTATAATTGGTTTTGGATTTTGGAGGCTGATGCTTGTCTTTGCCCTATTTTGTTTTGGCATTTACTGATAAAAGGGAAACATTAGTAGATTTGCCCGGATATCCATGGCCTACTTATTGGAGCATAACATCATTTACCAGATGTATCTCACATCTTTTCTTTTCATGTTATCAAAAATCATAGGTTATAAGGCCTGAGCCCGTGGTCCGGCTAGTTTCTTATCAACCAGACTTTGAGACTTGTTTCTTTTCCAGTTAATGGGCTGAGACTCAACACAAGAAGCAGATTCAGCGTTTCAGAGAATGAAAATGGACCAGTTATACACTTACACTTGAGTTGGGCCAAAGGTAACCTGCCACTGGATAACCGAGCACTACTCTGTCCATACTCGGTCACTCTATGGTCCCTACCCTTGGTCGAAAACTTCATTCCAATGTCAGCACCCTTCAAAAAAAAAAAAATACTTCAGTTAAATGTCAGAAATTTACTCACATACACAATCAATAGAAATTTCTGAAATTTCGAGCAAGAAAGTTAATACCTACAGGACTAGATTGTGATTAAACAGAAGTCAGTGCATTCGGAGTAAGAGACATGGGTGGGGTAGTTGCAATGGCTTCAGCTGAAGCCTGAGAGCTTAGATTTTTCATTTTAAATGATCTTCTCCTTCCTGAATGAATAAGCTAGACATTTAGGGCTGTAACTAGAGTAGACAGATTTCTGACCTGTCCATAATACAATACAAATATAAACATCTCATGACGAAACTGAAGAAATTATAATTCAGACCAAAGGTACTAGGAATACCAAATCTTGTCCTCCATGGTCTCAAATTTGGCCAGTTCCGAGAGGCTGCCTTGATATTACCAGAAGCTCTGGCTTGATAGTCTTTTACAAGCTGAACAACAATGAATGTAGAACGAAAATGTCAAATCAGGGAAGATATCAGAAGTTATCAAGTGCAGAATCATAAACTTGGAAGAATTATAAACTTGAAATCACGTCCTTAGGATCAGAATTAGTGCATTGGTGGAAGTTAACTTCATGTGTCATAGTTTCGTATCATCCCAATCAGAAACCAACATCTAGAAGATATTTATTAGAGAAGGTGAAGTAGCTAGTAATCACTGTTGCAGTCTTGCTGTTGCAGATTGTAAATCCATCTGATTTGTCTATCGTGCCAAATGCACACAGTTACATAGACACAGCAGCAATTCCACAATAGGCAAAATGGTGTGGCAATGGCAATTAATAACAGACAGAATGCCATTAACAAAGGCCAAGTACAGATGAGACACATGTCAGGAGTCAACCACGAGGTCCAATACATGGGTTGAAATTTGAAAACCAGATGAGCAATGTTAGTGGCAGTTAAAAAGGGGATGGAATTATATTTCTCCAAACCGGTGCCATAAACCAGGGAAGCATTAGCCTCAATATCTGCTTTAGGGCTTGTGTCCCAATTGATTCTATCACCTCCACTGGAATTGTTATAAACAAAAAAGGAATCTCAATGCTAATAAGTATAACCTATACAAAACTAGGAACATACATCCTTTTATAAAATATTAGGCTAAAACTAGGAATATTTTACAAACACACCTCAGTGACTGCTTCCGAAGTTAGTTCTTGAATTGCTGAGTTGCTCCGGATCATATCACATGATATTTGGTTCACCATAGAAGCTGCATTATGCATTCCTATATCAAATCAGTGTCAAAGCACTCCTGAAAGAAGAATTCCATCTAGATTTTTGATCTAAAAGTTTCATACTGATTAAAATTCTCTTTAAATAAAGTATTCGAATTTCAAAACAATTTAAAAAACCTTTCTCTTCATTTCTTCTTGCATCATTTTGAATCAAATTCAACATGATTGATTACACAGACCCAAAACTCACCTCCTTCAATACTATTTCCAAATTACTATGTAATTAATTAACTAGAATGATGCCCATCCAAGTAGGAGCTGCCTAGCATAGCTGGACAAGCTTATAGCAGATGCATTAGAATAAAAATACACCTAAGAGTTCCATTCATATGATTGTCTATATAAGCATATGACTATGTTTAACAATAGAAAGACCAAAAATAAATAACTTCTTACCATCAAATTTGTCATTTTGCTGAACCAGACGGAGCACCCTCCAGCTACAATCAGCAGGTGATACATCAGAAGTTCAAAGCCAACTTATGATTTTCCACGGAACAACTGAATAAATCAAAGAAATTAAACTTCAACCACCTTACAAGACAACAGCTTAATAATGCAGCCATTGGGTTTCTCTTCAACACTAGCGAGAAAAAACAGGGCAAACCTCTATTAACTAAAGAACTAAATCCTGTATATATAACACAGGACAATAGGCACAACGATACAATAGTGTAGGTTAGAGTCACGAGCTTCCACTTTCAAACGTGTCCAGAAGAATTACCATTCCATAAACTAAACGAAGCAGAGAAAATTCATTTCTGAAAACGATATTTCTTCCATTAAAGCTTGCAAAAAGGAAGCTAAATCTTTACAACTAGAAAGACTTAAATAAATTCGGCACCACATACAATCTAAGAGCTAGTGAATTTAGTTACGGCCTTGGTGCCCTCAGAGACGGCGTGCTTCGCGAGCTCTCCAGGAAGAACCAGTCGGACGGCAGTCTGGATCTCACGGGAGGTAATGGTAGGCTTCTTGTTGTACCTGGCCAGCCTAGAAGCCTCTTGAGCGAGCTTCTCGAATATGTCATTGATGAAGCTGTTCATTATCCCCATAGCCTTGCTCGAGATCCCGATGTCAGGATGGACCTGCTTCAGCACCTTAAAGATGTAAATCTTGTACGTCTCCACACTCTTCCTCGCCTTCTTCCTCTTCTTGTCGGCCGACGCTCCGCCTTCTTTCGGGAGCTTCTTCTCCGCTCTCGGTTTCTTCTCGGCAGGGGCTTTCTCGGCCGCCGGCTTCTTCTCTGCTGGCTTCTTTTCCGCCTTCGGTGCCATTGCTGGTTGCTGGAGAAACAACTGAACTAAGACGAAACAAAGGAGAAGGAAACTGGACTCGAATTTACTGTTTGGATGCTAAGTGGAAGGTTTTGTTTATATAGGAAGAGGGAGAGAGAGCTGATTGGTTGCTTAATAAGGACGCGGATCGATGACGTGGACTTTTATATTTCACAGATAAAGAATGGACGGTCACGATTAGAACCCTGCTTTTACGAGGGATTTTAAAATTCGGTTCCCGGCACTTTACGTTTTCGTTTTTAGCGTGCCTTTTTAAGTTTCTTTTTTTAATTTCCAATTATTTTTATTGAGTTTTGAATCTCGCGGTATCGTTTTAGCCGGAAAAAGGATCGCCCAGTTTAATCAATGGGATTGAGGCCAAGCCCATAGCACATTTGTAATTTACCTGGTTCTTTTTTTTCCTTTTTTTGTTCTTTTCCCATATGATATCTAGGGATGGCAACCGGTCCGCGGGGCGGGGAGTCCGCCCCGTCCCCATCCCCAT